GGCCGGTACTCCTCGGCCCCTAGCTCTGACGACGACGACTCAGGATACCCTGCCGACAGCTCCAGTTCACGGTAAGAAACTCGTCGTTAATATGAAGACGGGGTAACAACGTGTCCCTGCTGAACTTGCCTTTATAAAAGATGACTCTGCTGGTCTCCACTCCAGCTTGAGGCTTTTCCCCCTTTTTTTTTAAGTATCCCGGTGACCAATAAAACTAGTTGCATTTTTTCTTGACAGTTTATTTTTTTCTTCTAGAATTGAACGAAAAATTGCCACTATATCTTTGGAGAGCAGAGATGGACCTGGTAGAATAGGGGACGGTGAAAGAGGTAAGAAAAGAAAATGTCATTCCAAATAAAAATATTTTAAGGAAATAAATTCCTCAGTGTTTGCTATATTCATCAAGAAGTGAACTTGCTCGTGGAGGCATGGAAATAAATACGACTGAATATCTTGAGTCGGAAAAAACTCAACTGTAAAATGTATCTTCATCCATAATCCATATCCTATACTGTTGGTGCAAACAAAGACATACCGTAATTTTCGGACTATAAGCCGCGCCTTTTTCCAAATTTTTCGACGCTGCGGCTTATATAACGGTGCGGCTAATCTATGGATTTGTACAGCTCACGGCCACCACCTTTAACTCTATGGGCTCTATGGCCGGTCCGCGGACCCCCAACTTTAAGCGGCGGGCTCCAGCAGGAAAAGCTGGAGGCCGGAAAAGAGTGAGACAGGTAGCGCGCAAAAGTAAAAGTGGAACCGAGAGTGGTACGAGAGACAGAACGAGAGCAAGACAGACAGACATTACGAGAGCGAGACAGTTTGTCCCCGTACCACTGGTTGAAAACCACTGCTGTAGATCACTGCCGGTACGTGCGCTGGGAGCGCACCGTTTAAGTTTGAAAGTTGAAAAGTTTGTGTGTCTGAAACGCTATGTGATACAGTACAGTTTACACAGCACAGTACATGCTCTGTAGCTACTATTGCACTAAATGGTAACACTTGAATACGTTATGCAAATATGCAACTTGTTTGTTGAAATGTTAATAAATGGGAGCTTCCTCAAACAGCCATCTCTTTCCCGACAATCCCCTCTGTGCACGAACCCTTACATATGGTAATTAAACATTAAAACACCTGCGGCTTATAGTCCAGTGCGGCTTATATATGTACACATCATTCAATTTAGCTGCTGCGGCTTATATTCAGGTGCGCCTTATAGTCCGAAAATTACGGTAGTTTAAGAGATTGGATGCAAAGATAATTAATACATTTACTGCTTTTTGGTCAAATTAGCTTCAATAGACTACGTTCTAAATTCTTATCTCGAATATTTCTTTTTTTAATCTTGCACTTCTTCTGCTTAATGCCAATATTTCTTTCTCTCCTTCTCTCTTTTTTTCCACTAGTCAGGAAGTCTGGTAGCAGCAGCGGTAACAGCACAGGAAGTGACGCCTCCTCTTCCTCCTCCTTGTCCTCCAACAGCAAGTGGAAAGCCACCTTCTCGCCCATTTCTGACCCCAAGCAGCCTCACTCGGACCTGAGGCAGGGGGGCTCCCCCTTCGGCATGGGGGGGTCTGGCCGGGGCACGGACTCAGATTCAGACCACAAACAACAGCATCATCAGCAGGCGAGGAAAGGAGGTGAAGGAGAGTCGTCCAGCTACATCAACCCCAACCCCTTCCTCAGTCAGGAGGCTGGGCCCCGGGGTGGAGGCAGCGGTGGTGGGGGAGGGTCCCAGGGAGGAGGGGGATCGGACCAACGCCAGACCCTCCAGAAACAGAAGGGCCCCCGAGACTGGGAGATGAAGACGAGCAGCAGCAGCATGGCCAGTCAGAACCTCTTCATATCTGCCGCTGCCAGCAGTGGTGGAGGCATCCTGAGTGGGAAGGCGGGGGGCGGTCCCGTAGCCATTTCCTCCACCACAGGACCCTCTGTGGGCCAGTACCTGGGGTCTCAGTTCCCACTCGGAGGGGCCTCAGTCCTGCAGTCCTTGTTCGGGGCCCAGACGGGCGGATCCACGGTGAGTGGGACACCGAGGCTCGTCAACGGAAACTCCGTCCTGGGAAGCTTCTCCAGTGCTGGGCTGGCAGGTGGAGTGGCTGGAGGTGAGTCAGATCAAGCTGATCACGTAGAGTACAGAGGGAGGGTTTGTTCGTAGCCTGGGGTCGATTGATAAAGAATAGTACGAGTCCAAGATCAGGGAAAGGGCCTGCTGATAGTCAAGGTCCATTGCTGCCTGTCCGTCCTGCTGACTCACCGACTGACTGACTGACTGACTGACTGACTGTGCTACCTTGCTTTGAGATGGGCTTGCTGCTTAAATGCTGAAACACCCTTGGAAAATGTTGCACTTTAAAAATAAGAAATGCTTGAGATTTTTTTTTAATAAAAAGTAAAAATCTGAACAAATAATTTATTTTGACATCTGTGATTGACCATGAATTAGATATACACCATTTAATACTTCACTATATTGTCATTTTCTGTGGGTGTATCTATTGGAGTTGTAAGTCAGAGTCAGTTCACCTGTAAGCAAAAATAAATAATTAAATTTCACTGCAATAAGAACCGTTTTAGTACAATTCTAATTGGCTCCCACATGCTGGGTGACAGTGTCCTGACTCTTGCTTTCTGTGTGCTGGTCTCAGACCTGCTTGCTGCTCTTCACAACCCGGCTCAGTCCTTGCTTCTCTCTTTGTCGCCCCCCACCCCTCTTTCTCGCTGTCTCCACTCTCTCCCCCCTCCTCCGTTTCTGCATTATGATTTGCAGGTATATTTCACCATGTGAGGCCCACAGTGTCCTCCCATCAGTTTGGGGTGAGGCTGCCTTCCTCTGGAGGCCTCGGCTCTCTGCTCAATCTCTCTTCCTCCCCCTCCTCCCAAATCCAGCATCACACCACCCCCCAACAGGCCTCCACCCGCCTGGTGTTGTCCCCTCTCCCCCTCTCCCTGTCCCATCAAATTCGCACCCAGTCAGTCCTGCACAGCGCCTCTCCCCCCACCCTCACCCTGCCTCCCCTGCACAGCACCTCCTCAGCAGCCGCCCACTCTGACGCCTCGCCTCCATCTCGATCCGAGTCCTCCCGTCTGTCCCACCACCAGAGAGCCTCCATCTCCTCCTCCCCCTCTGTCTCAGTCGCTGCTGCTTCCTCCCTCTCCTCTTCCTCCCTCTCCTCCTCTCGTCCATTCACAGTGCACTACCCCCCCCGGCTGCCTCCTCCACCTCAGGGCAGCAGCTCAGGTGGAGGCGGGGGCATGTGGAGGACTCAGGGCACGCATGGCACCTACACCACCTCCCAGCCTCCTGGCTCCAGACCTAGATAGGGTTTGGGGGTGTGAGGGGAAGGGGGGAGGATGGAGAGGGTAAGGGCAATCAGAGGAGGAGAGAAAGTGAGACTGATAGGGATTGAGAGAGACAGGATACCTGTTCTAAAGCTGCCTTACGCTGTTGTTCTGATTGAACAAGGTAAGTCCACTCTCAGGTTTTAAAATGTGGGTTTCTGCAGTGAAATGTCCAAAAGATTACCTGACCTATTCATTGCTATTTTGCTCCATCGTGTACTTGCAAAACAACAATATTTTTCCAACAATTTCAAACCTAGAGAACTTTGAACGCTTGTATTGGTGTCCTGTCCCCTTAAAGCACGTGTCAGCGTTGTGATTATCTAAATTGACGGTCTAACCAGTTTAAACGATCAAATGTTATCCCGGTTTTACTCACCGTGTCTGTTTGTTTTGGCAAAGAGGTAACCTTTCAGATTATTCGGTTCTGTAAAAATCTCTGTTGATGAATAATGAAATAATCATAACAGGGACAAGATGATTTCAATGACGAACTCCCATGACTCCACGCTACTTCACTACACCCTCTTTTTTAAATAGTTTTGTGGCAGATCAAATTCTGTATAGTGTTGGTTGGAGATAAATGGATTTTGAAAGTGACAGGATTTTACTTACTGTGTTGTCTTATTTGATGAATCTGTCCCATTATAACAAACACTCATCTGTTTCTGTCTTCTTTGATGTTTCAGGTAATTGTTGAATACTACCTCAAAATTAAATAAACTATGCAAATGTCAGAGGTGTGGACCGAGACACTCTCCTCATCACTGGTGCTTCAAAACGTCTGCACTACCCAACCGCCTCCAAGACCGGCTTCTGTCCTGGGATCACACACACACACACACACACACACACACACACACACACACACACACACACACACACACACACACACACACACACACACACACACACACACACACACACACACACACGTACACACACCCTCTCTGGCATGTTCACACACACACACACACGCACACACCTCTCAGGGAAATCAGTTCTAGCTGCTGCTCAGACTGGGTGATACTGAGTCCATTAGGCTGTCTGCCTGGAATAAAGTGCTCATATATGACAGTTCAGTTTCGTCTTGGTCACTTATCATAGAACTAGCTAAATATCTGTTTACTTAAGCTTCTGATCTGAAACTGATCTGATCTGCTCTCCAAAGGCCTTCCTCGTGATGGCACTCACACACAGACACAGACACACACAGCTCAGATGTCATGCAGTGTTCCTGCTTGCACGCTCTCTTATCTCTGTTTTCTTCCTTGGGTGAAATTGTGTTGCATACACAAACATATTCGATAATTAATTTAAGTTAGGAACTTAGTATATATTCACACTGGATGGTAAGATAAAGTTACTCATGTAGCAGAATATGTGCTAGTCCAGCCTCGTTTGTTGACACCCCTTAAACTCTGCTAATGTTCATGATTTACAACATTTTTATGTTTTCTAAAAATATTATGTACTGTTAAGTCTCTGTTTAAAAGCAAAGAGCTAATATGCTATTTCTTTGTTATTAACTTGAGAAAATCCAATTAAATAATTCTCAGGTGTGATTATCTTCAATATCAGATATTTAACAAATTAGTGAAAGTCATTTTTTTTTTATTAAAATGTTTACTGTTATGACTGTAATCAAGCATATTAAGCTCAATGAATGTAAAATTTGGACATATGAACATCCATTCATGTTTCGAAATCTGAAAAAACTTAAGTTTTCAGCCTAGATTTTGAAATATTGTGAACTAGCAACTCTTTATTGGGTGGAAATAACGCTGAGCTGAGTACATTTTCATTATTCTTTGAAAGACCCCGTGATATTCCATTGATAAAATGGTGCTATCTTGACATTTTTAGCCACTTTCTGTATTTATTAACATTTATTCTCCTTAGTCAATTTGGTAAGTTACACTACTTTGAGGGAACACAGCTTAAAAAAGCAGAAATGTTTGAACTCTTCTTAAGCTAATGATATTCATAATTATCTCTGCTGTTGGGAAACGCAGGTTTAAGAGATTGTTTAGGGCATAAAACGTGGACACATGTTTGTTTAACTATACTGCATATAGTTGATGCCAACACACGTACACACTCGTGCATGCAAATCCTCACACACTGAGAAAACCATAACCACAACAAACTACTGGACTCTCTTCACACCTTTTTGTTTGCTTTTTTTTTTATTGTGTAATTCGTTTTTTTGTATAAAAGATGTGTACTGTGAATGTGATTCATTCTCCGACTGTACAGTTGTGTATAATTTAGATTATTATATTTATGCTGTCGGCCTCTCTATTTGCCTTGTTATTTGTTTTATTCTTCTTTTTGTTTTATCCTGAAATTTGTTGGCATTTTAGAATGCACTGGTGCTTGACTCACAGTCTGAAAACAATGGTGCTACATTTGGACTGTATCTGATGTTATTTATTCTGTGGTGAAAACATCAAAAACAAATCGAATACTTGGTGCTGTACACGGGGACACTTTTTAAGCCTTTTTCTGGCACTTTCTTTCTGATATTTAATGTCTGGTTCTTGGAATTCCTAATGGATAGCTGTAGACCCCAATCCGACAGAACGACTCCGCAGCAGCTGCTCAGAGTGAACCGGTGTGAGGACGTTTCTCACGCCACAGTTTCAAACATAAGTCAGCCTCAGAGCGAGCTGCTTATCTGTTAGTGAACATACTCACTGTTTCTGTGCATAACTTTGGTTTTCCTTATCAGGAACTGAAAGGTATACAAAATATGTATCTATACAAACAGTTTAAATATATAAGTATATGTAAATATATATATGAGTGAAAACGGTTGTTTTGGCATTGTGACCTTAAACTCAGCCTGTTAAACAGGAGGCTTGAAGCCAATGAGAGAGGAGCTTTGACATCACTGGACCTTGTGATAGAAATAGAAACTGAAAAGATGTGCGTATTTAATGCAGACAAACAAAGGTGCTGTGGCTTAAACACGACTAGATTTCACTTTTATCAGATGTTTTCACCTCTTTGGTATATTTTTATTTTTACCAATGCAATTTCTGCAGGAAAAAACGGTGCTTCTGTTTCCAAACAATCGCAATTCTGTTCTGAAAAACTTCACTGGTGCATACAAATCCTCATGTCCACGTCTTACACAAACTGTCCGTCGCTAGATATCGCACTACACAAGGCCCCACCTTGTGATGTGAGCATATTGTTTCAATGGAAAGATGTACAACTCTTGTGTTAGGATGTATGTGTAACACTTTGTTGGGAGTGAGAGCATCCAAGCTTCCCTTTGCTCTGATAGTGGGAAAACACATAGCTCAGTTTGTGTGTGCTTTTTGTCCCCACTCTCCGGTGCATATCTAAGGGAAGATTAGATTCATAATCAAAGCTTTATTGTCCGCCTGTCCTGTGCACTCAATGTGTTTCTAACCTGCGACTGTTTTAAATATAAAAGAAGAAAAAATAATTTTAGTGCAACATTTAGAGACTAGTCCGTTTGTTACCAGCACTGAGAGGTATTTTGTTATTATTGTTGATGCTGTTTGGATTTTCTTGTTCTTGGTGTTTGATACAATTGCAGACACATGTTATGCTTTTAATGGTGTCTTCAGATTCCTGTCAGTTTGTTATACTACTATTCAGACCGACAGCACGGTGCTCTCCTTCACTTAAAACAAGGAAATTGCAGCTATTGATAAATACTACTCTCCTCCTGTTGTGCTGCAGGGTTTTATGGTTTAATAATCTTCAACACGAGTTTAACAGAAATGTTCTCGAATCTGGAGTGTCGGCGTGATGTATGTGGAAGTGAGAACAGTTTATGGAGACGGCAACAAATGTACAATCATTACAGATTTCAACCAGTTTTATAGCTGCTTATATAATCAGTCAAAGGGATGAGGTGCTGTTATTCAAGTCCTTTGGTGTATGAGCATTGTTTAAATAAAAGCCTCTATGCAGTTCTCCCGCATGCTCCATCCTGATACATTATTAATAATGTGTGAGAGCTCTGCAGTGGAGGCGGTTTACTCTAAATCCTGCCAAAGGTCGTAACTCAGGAACTACCCACATGGCTTGAAATTATGTAAACAATTTTCTTAAAACTACTGCATGTCATAAACGTATGCTCCATCTCGTGGCATGATTGAGTCCTATTTGTAACCAAACTCGGGACCAGAACAATGCCTGAGTAAGCGAGGTAAAATTCAAACCTCAGATGTATTCTCGCTGTCACATACATCCAGCGCCTCCGGTTGAATCCAGCTTCATAAAGCTTTAGAATCCAGATGCTGTGAAATGGCTTCCAGCATCTTCCTCATCTCACAAATGCCTTCGTCTAAATTTGTCAAACAAAAGAGGTTCACGGTTCTTTGTTGGGACTCTTCCCATTGTTTGGTGGGCGGACATGTGACAGGATGTGTACAGCGATGTCTGATGGGTGCAGCCAGGGCAGGTTTGAGGTGCAATAACGCAAACCTACTTCCCAAAAGGCCCTGCATTTACATGAGTTCTTACTGTTCGATGTTGGTGCTTTTATCCTAAGATGTTATTATAATGAAACAAAGGAAAAACATTGTTCTTTTTTCTCCCCTGCGTTTTATGATTATTAATAAAAATGTTTCTTCTAATATTTGAATTCATGTGTTTAGTGGCATTTTTGTCTGATCGAATTGTTATTTTATATTATTTTTAAATGTCTAACAAATATTTTTCAAATATTCTAGCCACTATTAACGATACGATTTGTTATTTAATTAGTTTTGCAAGCAAAATGACACCTTGTAATGAGAATTCATCTGTATATTTAAAAAAGGTTAAAATGTGTTTTAACTACAAAGCCAACTTAATTAACTTTCATTGTTTTTGATTGAATGATTCACAAATAGCCATACCTCCCATTAACATAAGAATATTTGCACTCATTCGTACCAAACTTTCCTTATGGTTTCATTAGAATTGTATATTTAAAAAAAAAAAGTTTTCATCAACACTGAAGATAAATTAGTGGGGTCCAAATAGCTTTGTATGTAGATGAGAATAATTAATTATTTTTTACAACTGGAGCTTTTAAAAAGTAAGGCACTTTACATATGTTAAAATTAATAAATAAAAAAAGCACACAGGTATAATATAAAACACACAATTACATTACACATTCAAACGACTGCAAAAGTATTGTCTAAATTCTCTTATTTGAGATTATAGATGTGTGTTTTTAATGAAAATCTTTTGAATGATTCTTGATTCCCACAGTAGGCCTACACACAACCAGACAATACTTCACTCTTCAAGAACATCACGATGAAGTGGTTCCTCCTGTCCCACAAACAGTGTTGGCGGATGTTGCAGCCATTCGAAAATAATGAACTGTTCTTGTCGTTCCACAATGAAGATTTGTGATGCACAAGAAGGAGCCTTGGTGTTATCTCTCGGGATACATGGCTACCAAACATCTGAGACCTTGACTGTCTGCACAACAGGAGTGCAGCTGTGAGAGAGATGGTGGGAGTGACGGCTATGAAAGGAGTCAGGCCTCATGTCTACGTTTCTTTATGGGAGCAGGACTTTATTCACTTGTTTTCCCACTCTATCATGAATAAGAGCAGATCAATTAGACACATTTAAGAGATAAACATGTTTTATTCAGCTCTTTTATCACCGTGAGGGCTTTTTCCCAAAGGAATATGTCTACATTGTGTAACGTATGCTTTATTACTTGCTAGTAGGATGAGAAGTGTGATCCACTCCCACAGCCCTGAGAGCCCAACAAGAGGAAACGGTTGGCTTAGCTCTGGCTAAAAGTAACAAAATGAGCCTTCCAACAGCTCTAAATCTCATTAATAAACATTTTATTTATTGTGTACACAAAATAATGCAGTGTTAGATTGTTGTGGTTTTACAT